TTACCCGTGTGGGGAATCGACCCCGGGTCTTCGACATGACGAGCGAACGCTTTCCCCAATAGGCTACCCCATCGTTGGGATTTATCATCAGGTGCTTCCCAGTCCCTCGATGTGTCCACTCCAGGTGGACGTGTCCGGGAAGTTTGGTTATTCAGCTCATGATAATAAACTGCAGAAGTATCACAATCATCAGAGAGGAAGGTGTGAAACCAGATGTTCAGGTGTAGGGTACAGACATCGAGTATTACAGTCTATTCAACACCTTGCAATAAAATAGTCAAATTTCTTGAAGAAACTCAATACTTATTTAAGTCAGTTATTTCAAAGGTGACAAAATGAGTGCAACTGTTCGAAAGGAAAGCTTAAGTGGTTTGTGACTAACCATTGTGAGGATTCCAGAAAAATCACTGGTGCCTAATAACCATGAGGGGCCAGTTCCACAAACGATCTTCGTTCTGCGACTATGCCAAGCATGCGTGGGACGAGGTGAGGTGAATTGGGGTTTCACGTCGCGTTCAAGATTATTAAGCACTTTCATGCATGTTTGTGTGGCTGGAGGAATGTCGGTGTCTTTGTGAGATACCATGCCACTGTTTAACATGAATACCTCACTCGGACACAATATAGTGACTCCACGCCAGGCAGGGTGAAAACAAGTACCATTTTTATGGTAACCACTTTGCTAACCGCTCTCAGACAGACGCTGTATTCACAGGACCAGAGACGCCATCGTTAAAGTATGACATTACCTTAAAGCTGAGTGGACAGTGTCTCTGGAATATTAGATATCTATTCTTTTTCCAGAATAATTGTTTTGGCTATTGACAAGTCTTGTTTAGAACACGAGAAGTACGATCACTTCTGTGTTAAGGTCGTTTTGTGGAAGATTCCTGGGTCCTGGGCCCTTATTCTCGAAACGTTCGTAGCCCTAAGAATTCTTAACTTTGATCGTAGCCAATGTGTTAAGAATGGGCTTAAGAAGTTCGTAGGGCTACGAACGTTTCGAGAATAGCTAGCCTGTTCCACAGAGCGATCGTAGCACTAAGACAATCGCAACTCCCATACTTTAACATAGACTTACGACAGTCGTAGCGCTAAGGTGATCGTAACTCCCATACTTTAACATAGACTTACGACAGTCGTAGCGCTATGATCGCTTTGAGGAACGGGGCCCCGATCTTAGGAGTCGAGTAAAATGATTTGTGTGGCCAGGCACGATGCCTTGTTGTACACCGACAGCGAATGGATGCTCATGCTATCAATCACAGGTTTACATACTGGAATATTCGACATAAATGATTTTTGTCGACTGTAGAAATAAACATCAACTCATAGACTCGAGTGTAAACAATCTAATTATGTTTAATTCGTTTCGATGCATATACTTTATTGCACGACGAGAAATGTTACTGTTAAGTAATGTAGATAGAAAACTGAATCGGCTTGTGAGTGAGTGAGTGAGTTTAGTTTTAAGCCGCTTTTAGCAATATTCCAGCAATATCACGGCGGGAATCGGCTTGTGCTTCATGGAGACGGCAGATTTTGGTGATATAAACTGCCGCGTGGAAAAAGTATACGATCATGTTCTATGGTAGTTAAATATGAAACTAAATAGAAACGACTGTGGGTGGTGATTTATTTGAATCTGGTTTCACAGGCGATACTACCTGATATGAATAAATATTAGCCTAGCACCGTTTTGAAAACATTATAACTTTTCCGTCAAATCCACTTTACAAGTGTATATTGTCTTTTGCCCGGTAGCGTATGACTCCAAAGGTATTGGCCAGGTGTATGGTACATTGCTGATAGCTTACTTTTACAATACTTTGTTGCTAGTTCGCCCCGATAATATTGCTCGGTTTGTAAGCTCCATATCCCTGCTTATGGCATTCTTTAATGTTGTAAACGTCTTTGACATGCATCACTACGGGGTCCTCTCCTACTTTAAGCAGGCCGGGATATAACTGGACTATGCAAAAGCGGCGTTAAAACCTGCACACTCAAGCGACCAAACTCACTCACTCACTCAGCGGTCAATGATGGGGACGATGAGGTCCCAAAGTAAGCTTGTTACCTCAGTGGACATTCAGAGGTGAGCTGGAAAAGGGTCTAAAACTCAGTACACTCAACCACCCAAACTCACTCACTCACTCACTCAGCGGTCAATGATGGGGACGATGAGGTCCCAAAATAAGGTTGTTACCTCAGGGAGGTGAGCTGGAAAAAGGGTCTAAAACTCAGTACACTCAACCACCAACTCACTCAGAGCGTGATGCGATGAGGTCCCAAAAAGCTTGTTACCTCAGTGGACATTCAGAGGTGAGCTGGAAAAGGGTCTAAAACTCAGTACACTCAACCACCCAAACTCCATCACTCACTCACTCACTCACTCACTCAGCGGTCAATGACAGGAACGTCACGATGATGGTCACAAAGTTTTTTTTTAATGAAGGGATGAAGCTTGCTACCTCAGTGGGCATTTAGAGGTGAGCTGGAAAGGGGTTAACACCTCGTTCAAGATTGTTGCACGTACAGCGACTTCAATGAACAAGTGGCTTCTGGTACTGGCTTCTGTTTTATAGTGTAATGTCAATGAGATAAGCAAGGCTGTCCACATTGTCTGCAGGTCAATGAGATACAATGTCGCTGTTTGAGAGACATACCGCGCTCAGACATACCATACAATCTCAGTCATTAGTTCTTGCTATATTCTAATTCCGAGCACAAGGCACGATAACAACAAATACCATTAACTGACGCCATTTGGTATGTCGCGGCAAGGGATTCGAACCACCGACTTTCCTCCTCTATTGACACGTTGAATTACTACGCCATGGAACCAGCCCTCGTCATTATGCAGACATGTAATGACTCAGCTGTACTTCACTGTACTTTATTCCATTGTGTGTTCTGACCCATTACATGACCTTTACAGAATAAAAGATAAAGAATGACAATTAAAAGGAAAAGAGTATTTACGAATACAACAATGGGAAACTGATTTACAGACACTCAATGTCATATTAGGTAACCATTTTCAGTGTTGCAGTCAGACATATTCCAGGTATATGACGGCAGCCTGATCATATCTGGACCAGGCAAACCAGTGGTTGATATTATGAACAACGATGATGCTGTATGGGTACGATGACACAAAGTCGGCCATGTCATCCAGCTTGACTTGGTGGTTGCTTCTTACGACAATCATACATTGATTTGGGCATATTCATATCCGGAATCGACTTTCCAAATGATGTAGTAATAGCATGAGGATGGTACCTTGACCGGGATCGAACCAGGGTCCTGATCCACAAAACGTATGTAGCGGTACGACATTCGTAAGCCTGTGAGAAACTATAGAGATACGACAGCTCGTAACGTTACGAACGCTTTGAGGATCAGGGCCTGGATTTTCGAAGCTCTCTTAGTCGAAGATAGCTAAGATAGTCGTAAGTTAAGGTTAATGTTTGGCACTTACGACTATCTTAGCGCTAAGAGAGCTTCGGAAATCTACGCCCAGGGTCCTGCTTCTTTAGTTTGATAAACACGCACCGACCCTTGAAGACAGGGATTAGCATTGATATTCAGCAAAGTATACATTCTTCTGTTTGAGCAAAGGTTATGCCACGGATGTTTGAAGGGGAAGGCATATCTTGTTTATTAGTGAGACAGATGTATAATAATTTGCGTAAATAGTAAACCTTCAAAATAGTATGACTACCCTACCCTCCAAAAAAGCAATGTTCTCATGTCCTTGAGAAATGCATCCTTTGTAAGAATTGTGAATATCTTATTTGCAGAATTTGGGAACCATTCTTATACATTATGTATTGTATTTGGACTATGATTGTACCATGGGCCGATGCCCCATATATATATACAAATCAACAGTGAACTATGAACTATAGTCTTCTAGAGGCGACTAATGTGTGGCCACGCCCAGTGACCTAATCGATAAATATCGTTGTCCAAATTGACAGATTGATACTGTCAATCACCGCATTGTCTGGTTCAGACTTGATTATTTATAGACCGCCGTCATACAGATGGAATATAGCATACTATACTAAGGGAACAATTACCCGATACTATAATTATTAAGTGAACAATTACCCGATACCACAATTATAATGTGAACAATTATCCGTCACCATAATTATTAAATGAACAATTACCCGATACCATAATTATAAAGTCAACAATTACCCGATACTATAATCATTAAGGGAACAATTACCCGATACCATAATTATTAAGTGAACAATTACCCGATATTATAATCATTAAGGGAACAATTACCCTATACCATAATTATTAAGTGAAGAATTACCCGATACTATAATTATTAACTAAACAATTACCCGATACAATGAACTGAAATTCTTAATAGTAAAAGTGAATAACTACTATTTACATAAGAACAACCCAAAAGTTATCCAACATGCCAAATACAGAATAACTTGATGCTGCAAGTTTACACTATCGCAACAGGTGAAGTGTCCATATACCCGAAAGGCTTCTAACTTCGCATGCATTTGTGACGGGTGCCACCAGCAGACCTGGAAACGCTCACCTTTTTGCAAACACCTAATATTTCCACCTGTTTTGATGATTCATAAACACGTATGTGTAATGGGAATCCCACAATGAACTTTTAGCAGAGCTTACTTATGATTATGGAATGTTTCGTCGCCTCTGTTTACTGACAGACCAACCGTTATGACGTTTATAAACCGCATACATCATATGTTAATTTCACTGAAAATCTCATAAACACCCGAACCAACACTATTAATATATTTTTCAAAATATTTATTTAGAGAGATAAGTAACCGTATTACATATATCACAAACATATATCAGGGAACATTTCACAAAGAAGTCACAGTTCAACACGAGATGTTTCAAATGCTGGAAAGGGCTAATCCCAACGTTGCTGAATGAGCACGATGGTTTATAGTAGACCTATAATGAACAACTGTCGTAACACTTTTTACCCAGACAACTTTATGACCAAGAGCGGTGGGACTACTAACGCAGAGCTGTCGGCGATGTCATGTGTTGCACAAAAACTACATCGTTCTTTATCCATCGCGGGATGGGAGAGCAGTTGAGAATATTTCTGAAATCACAAAACAAATGATCTTTATTTCATCCCAGTTGTTTAAGACTTGATAATTATCAAACATGTAGAGTTCCAAGTTCGACCCTAGACCCGACTTTATTGTTCCTTGGCGGTGATTTGAATCTTAAATGAAAACGACTGATGCGTTTTTACCACGTTAAGATCAGATGACGGTTTTCTTGCATGAGACCAGCTGACAACTTATGGAGAGTTCACAATGAATGTAGCATGGGTTTCTTTTGTCTGCAAATTCAGATGGAAAGCTGAAACTTGGTTAAGATCTGAAGATAGGGTTATTTTATTACCAATTCCATGTGGCTTACAAACTACGTACGTCGCACCTTTGTCCGAATACGTACGTATATTATCTGTGATAAATAGCTAAAGGGCTCAGTATTGAAGCCCACTGAAAAAAAACCCGGATAAATCTCTCAAACATGTTCCTGATAGGATCTTATGTGCGAAAAGAAAATCTTAAAGGCTGGCATTAAAGTTTCATTATAATTGCATTTTGGTGCATGTGGTTGAGATATGTCTCGGGTACATACAAACAAAACATTCTCCCTGGCATGAATAAAATGAAAACAACGTGCTTTTCTGTTAGTTGTATTGTTATTTGTCAAATCTCTTTATTCCATTACTGAAGAGGCCACAGGCCTATAGTACAAAATATAAAAAACAATAATGGCATACAATCACAATGTTTGCAAACGTTATTTTCTTTGTTCAAAAGCATGGTGGATATACATACCAAGTTTACGAATATAAGTTGTATTATTAGAGTTCATTATCAAATTAAATTTAAACATGGTAGGATGTGAATAGTAATATTGTGGTAGATATTTTGTCCTTAAATCAGCATAGTAAGGACATACCAGCAAAAAGTGGAACTCATCTTCAATTACATTTAGTGCACAAAATTTGCACAATCTGTTTTCTCTTGGAATATTATAATATCTGCCCATATCGATCATAAGATCATGTGAAGAACATCTAAATCTGGATAATGAAACGTGGAATTTTCTAAGATTAATATCGTGTAGGTATTGCTCTGTATGGAAAAAATATTTAAAAGTACTGTAAAAAGTGGATTTGGGCGACTGTATTAAAGATGAGTTCCAGGTCTGAATGTACATATCTTTTAATCTTTGCGATAAAGCATTATAAAATGACTTTGGGCAGGTACTGTTATTTGTCAATTGTTACAGAATTTGCTGTAATCTTAATAGTATGAACTGTTACAGTTTGTCTTTGTTTAAACTGAAACTAATGAATATGTTGAGATTCTCAAACGATGATTTATCAATATATATATAAAACAAATAGATCAACTGAAGATGACAGAAATATATTTCATTTCCAAAGATCACGTTGCTCATTATGCTGTATGCTACAATGATTATTTAATATATATCTTATATTGAATATATATGCTATATGTATTTGTATATATTTCACATCGAATAACAGGATGTTACTGTTTGACAAATATATAGGTAAAGTTTTAATCTTGGGTACAGTTTCACGAATTCCGGCTTTTCACAACAACCAATATCGTAGTGACAGCTAGTTGACAGTTTCCGGTGTTACTGGTAACCATATTCCTTATTGTGAAGAAAACGCCGTGTCATATCTCTTGTGAAAACATATTTAATAAAACATATATCTATAAATAGGCATGTTTAACTGTTTGTTTGTAATACAATGTTGATAATAATGTGTAATATTCCAGTTTTCTTGGTTCTTCAGTTTACGGATTGCATATAATCCATTTTTGCTTTAAAAAATCAGATATTTATTCTGAAACTATATGATCAACCAAGCAAGTTTACGAAAATATGTAACACGGTAATAAAAATATTAATGGCCTATTTACTGTCCGATAGATCATCCTGAAACATTTGAGATACTTTATAGCTTAGGTTTATATACTACACGGAGGCCAAAGTTATCTATAAAATATGTTTCCATTTTGTCATTGTTGATGCTCGTTGAGAGGTACATTTTGTTGATAAATGAGGTTCGTGAGTTATTTATTCTTGTTTTTCATCTGTTATTTGCATGATAAATCTAAATGGAAGTGAGTCATGCACTGGAGAGTCCACCTGCCAAGCCGTGTCACTTGGACATTTTTATGAAACACACGTTCCAGCAACATCCAGACCTACCTGAATAGTGTCATTAGCTTTCTCCGGCCTCACGAGTGGTCCCAGCTAGTAAATCTCGCCTCTTACTCTACTATGATCATTCTCGCGTCTTACTCTACATCCATGACGAAAAGTGGGAGCGTGGTCTCTGAAACGAGCAGTGAATATTTATTTGATGATTTTAACAGGAAATCCTCACGGAATAAGATGGAGGAGAATTGGGCTTTTCCAGATGTCCCTCCAAGACCTCCAGAACGTACTGTGGGCTTCTAGAAGAGCCCAGAAGAATTGCGCTGTCTTTTAACAGCAGACCTCGAGCTACAGATGGTTAATACCTTAAGTACAGGACTAATTCGAGAATAAAACCTTCAAAAAACTGGCGTGGGAAAGGTACGTCCGTCCTACCCCCCGTGGAGTTCGTTAGCAACTCTCTCCGCATGAACTAAAGTGAAATATTACTAATGTTTTATACCTACCCTGTTTTAAATTTATTTTTGACACATGGAAACATTATAATTCAACAATACACAGTGCTGTTCATATTGCGTTGCTCTTTATACCGGCTTGAATATCGACAGCCAGATGAAATGACTTGGTGGAGGAGCTTACTGTTATTTGAGCGCCATTAATCTATTACATGTTGACTCCGGTATCTTTTAGTTAACTTCAGAAAGGCTTATTGTTTTTCACTCTTTCTCTCTGGATTAAACTGGGTTACAGAAAATGAAAGTGAATAATAAAGGCACCATGAATTAGAATCAGACACACAATATAACTGTTGCTGCTACTGCTAATGCTACTGTTGCTGCTGCTGCTGCTGCTACTGCTACTGACCCGTGAACATCCGGGTTAGAATTGGTCTTCAGCAACCCATGCTTGTCGTAAGAATCGACTAACGGGATTTGGTGGTCAGGTTTGATGAACTGGTTGATACATGCCATCGTATCCCAATTGCGTAGATCGATGTTCATGATCGATGTTCGATGATTTTCTGGTTTAGACTCGATTATTTGTAGACGCTGTTGAAAGATTGCTGTGTGGGGCAAAGCAACGGTTGCGGGAGCACCCAGTCGTATGGTAAAGGTCCATGCAACCATGCAAACCTCATGTCTGTGCAGCTACTACTACTACTACTACTACTACTACTACTACTACTACTACTACTACTACTACTACTGCTGCTGCTGCTACTACTATTACGACTACTACTACTACTACTGTAACTCCATTCGTATACCCTACTGGAACACTTTGTACTACAATGTCGCTTCGTGCAATCAGGGATATCAATAAAACAACAGTTACAGTGTCTCTTCCTGCAAGGAGTGATATCAATAAAACAACAGTTACAGTGTCGCTTCCTGCAAGGAGTGATATCAATGAAAGAACAGTCACAATGATGCTTCCTGCAAGGAGTCATATCACTAAAGGAACAGCTACAGTGTCACATTTTGCAAGGAGTGATATCGATGAAAGAATAGTTACTATGTTGATTTGTGCACGGTGAGGTGAGGTGAAATGGGCTTTAACGTCGTACTTGAGAATATTTCGCTCATATGACGACGTGCATGCGTGTGTATGTGTATGTGTGACTGCTTGTACTAGCCCAGACTTAAGCTGGTTTTAAAGTGCTAGCTCACTGAGATACCATGCCGCAGTGAAGCATGAATACCCCACTCAGACACATTATACTGACTCCGAGCCGACCAGTCCTTGTTGTACCCATTAATGCCGAGCGCCAGGCAGGGACCAATAAGTACCACATTTTAACGTCTTTTGGTATGACGGGGCCGGGGATCGAACCCCGGGATGCTTTGTGCAGGTAGTGATATCAGTAAACAAACAGTGTCAAAAAGCGACACTGGTACTGCTGTTTTACAGACATCACTGCTTCTGTTTTAATGATATCACTGCTTCTTTTTTAATTATATCATTGCTTCTCTTTACATGATATCACTACTTCTGTTTAATGACATCTCTGCTTCTGTTATACAGATATCACTACTTTTGTTTTAATGATATCACTGCTGTAGAACTGATGATGGAGCCAGAACAAGCCCTGAAACGTTGAACCAAACAATAAAAAGAAGATGAAACCCAGAAAATTCTTTATGTTCATCAAATAGTATTTTCTAAAATGCCAATCAAACATCTAATCACTACTTCTGTTTTACAGATATCACTGCTTCTGTTTCAATGATATCACTGCTTCTGTTTAATGATTTCACTACTTCTGTTCAATGATATCACTGCTTCTGTTTTACAGATATCACTACTTCTGTTTCAATGATATCACTACTTCTGTTTAATGATTTCACTGCTTCCGTTTTAATGATATCATTACTTCTGTTTTAATGATATCACTACTTCTGTTTTAATGATATCACTGCTTCTGTTTTAATATCACTGCTTCTGTTTTACAGATATCACTGCTTCTGTTTTACTGATATCACTGCTTGCAAAGTGACATATGATGGCAGCCTACATATAATCTTGTTGGTTTTGACAAACACATCCACGTCATCGAGTCACGGACCCTGACCATCCAATCCATTAAGTCACCTAGTACAACAAGCAGGGGTTGGGAGGTCCTGTTCTTGTTCGGAACTTCCACAGAGGCACCAAATACAGTGAGATGGTGATAGATTGGGATAAGACAATCAGCTGATAGTGTGACATCTAGTCTGAATTACGGTGTGTCACTGTCATATGTGGGTGGGTGAGTGAGTTTAGCAATATTCCAGCTATATGGCGGCGATCTGTAAATAATCGAGTCTGGACCAGACAATCCAGTGATCAACAGCATGAGCATCGGTCTACGCAACTGGGAACTGATGACATGTGTCAACCAAGCCAGCGACAACTGACCACCCGATCCCGTTAGTCTCCTCTTACGACCAGCATGGGTAACCGAACATCAATTCCAACCCGGACCTTCACGGGTTCGTCATATGTGGGAAAATCCCGTGATACGGTTCTTAAAGGATTGCCGGGTTTATGAAACACGTGAGCACTTCTATGTACTGACAAAACAAGAAACATAATCAGGGTGAAACAGAGATTCGAACTCATGATGGGTCTCTCATGTCTAAGGGACGGAACTCTGTATAACTGTTACGCTTTAGACAGGGTACTCTCCTCCGCTACAGGGTATATTATTTGTACCAGCTACTTATATAACTGTGGACTTTCAGGTTAACCTAATTGTTGGTTTAGAACTAGACTAAGCCTAGATTTCCTCAGGTTCAGACCCTGATCCTGAGAAAATCTAGACTTGCTTCCAGGCGCGTAGCAAGCCAATTTTTTCGTGTAAGGCGATAGGTTACAAAGCTTTATACTTAGATAGTATTGAGGGCTTGCCCAACATTTGTAGCAAGAATCATGTGTAAGCCCGGGCTTTTTTGTATAATTGTAGCTACGCCCCTGGCTTATTTAGGGGTTTAGCATTGCAGAAAGTGCAGGGAAGAAGAGAAAATAATCCGGTTCAGGCAGTGTTTGCCTTTAACCCTGTAAAACTGCAGGCCCTAAGGACCAGGAACCATAAAATGTTGTGGGTCCTGATCAGAATGTGTAGGCCCTATATTTTAATATGGAAATAATAGTCTTAATTATTGGAGATGAAAAAGCTGTCGGCAATAAGGACCTGCAGAAAACAAAAGCTGTTGGTCCGAGTGGTTTTGAGTCAGCTTCGGGCCTAAGGACCGACGTTACTTTCGAACGCTGGGTTCAGGGACTATGAGACAGACCTGTCTGAAACTTTCTTAACCCAACGCCGAAAACCAATGTCCTGTCAGTGCCTTGGTACTGGTAATAACTGTAAGATCACACTCAAGGCCTTAAGTCAACGTCTAACCTTTTACAGAATTACGACGGAGTAGCTTAAAACCTACAGCATTCTCTCGTTTTGCTTAAAATATCGTGTTCGATTTCCAGACGTAAACGATTTGTTGAACCATTGGTGGTATAATATTACAAAATCTTGTGTAAAATCATTCCCCTTCCCTGCTAAAGATGACACTAAAAAAAAGCCTTACATGACGCGTTAGAGACCTAAAAGCGCAAACATGTCACGCTATATAATATGTGCTTAGTCATCATCTAAACCACAAATCATGTCCCACAAACTCCATGAAATCCAATTATGATAATTTAAACAACTATTACATATTTCATCAAGCATGGCTCTGAATGTCGTTAACGATTTACAAAGAGTACAGATATACGAGACTCCCAAAACATAAGGACAGAATCATTTGACAACTCCAACCGTTGACAAGTTACTCAAATATCCATGCGCAAATTTTCAAAATTCTGTTTGAAGTCAGCATCCCTAATGACCAGGGCGCATGTGAAAGTCATCAACAACTGTTTTATTTATACAAACATACCTTCTGTCGAGGGAGTCGGCTCAGTTAACATAGAAAACAGAACCATGGAGCATTACGTAAGTTTAACTGATGTGCGTGAAAATAGAAGACGTTGCCTATTGCCAGTATTTTGACGTTGGGGAATGATCTTACACGTTTTTCTGTGTTTTTTAGGAGTTCCGATACCATTGGGGTTGTATTAAACCACAAACGAGAGAGAATGATGAATGCATATTGGACATTTGTGGAGTTGTTCGGTGCAGTTGCAGTCAACTTTTTCATCTATTTCCATGAAAAACTTTACTTTTTGGTTATTATCTTTTATAGTTTTTGTTAAATTACATTCGCACTCATTAACACCGCACCATCTCATTGCGTCAACATACTCGAAGTTCTTTTTAAAGGTGGGGAAACAATACAATTATTAATTATTATAACATTACGAAATAACAATAAAGACTATAAGACATGAAAAATATATTCTTGCACATTTAAATTGAATTTTTTTTAAATAATGCTGATAACGACATAATTTTTTGAAAAAAAACATCATTTGTCAAGAAAGTATAAATCCTCTTTTTGTACGAAACACCAACTTTTTTGTCTTACTAGAATCTATTCCTGAAAAAATATATTTTCTGGAAAATCACTTACAAACAACTGGAGCAAAGCCGAGCATCTGTTGTAATCACTGTGCCTTTTTGACACAACGGTCATACGGTCAGATCGTGATTTACGGGAGTCGTACTGTGTTTGTTTAATACT